TTGCCTGAATTTTGTATATTGAATATTGAATAAAAAATCCATGAATGAATGAATGAATGAATGAATGAATTGTACAAGATTTGTTACAGATTATTTTGCAGGCTCTATGCTGAAATCGATCAGATTGGTAAGACTGGTCTTTAGTCATATTCTGGCTCCATGCTGGCACTGCGTATTCTGATACGGGTTTATGACTTGTTTATAAAACAGCAATAAGGCATGGATATCAACACATGAGCGTTTCAATTTTCTAAGAAAAATAATTTAGAATTACTGTACACTTATTAGTACTATTATCAATGAGGTTGCCATGATAAATTGCTGGTTAAGCCTTGGCCCGAGCCTCTCTTCGGTGAAAGCCATTCAGTAAAATATCCTATTGCTAAGAAACGAACTAACCCATGTATCAATTATGGGTCAACACCAAGAGACTAAAGCTTACTGATAACAATATTGTGATAAATTAGATCATGCCTTTTTAAAGTCTACACGTATTAGACGCAATTCGTTACATTTATCAGTAGTTAGGTCCATCCTAAATTTCTTTCCTTTTCAAGCCGCTGTAGTAGAAAGTATAACAACTAAAATCAATAGCCGTTGACACTGTTAACGGCTATCTTGATTTATATATTATTATTATTATTATTATTATTATTATTATTATTATTATTATTATTATTATTAGGCCTATATAATATTATTTTAATTAATTATATTAATTATATAAATATTAATATAAAACTATTTGTTTACAGCCATACCTATTGAGTAATAGAGTGTATCTGGTGTTATTTGAATCTGTTCAACCATGAAGCCTCTGTGGTCTAATGGTTATGACTCTCGCCTTGGCAGCCATAGGTCGCAGGTTCAAGTCTTATCAGAGCATTTTATTACACGATTTCTTTATTCATTTATTTATAGGACAAAATCCGTTGAGAGCTATGCTACACGATGTATTATCATGTTCTTTATTCGAACATATATATATATACATATATATATATACATATATATATATATATATATATATATATATGTTTGGCCTTTAATAAAAAGTTATTTGTCTAATACCTAAAAATATCTTCATCATCGACTCTATCTAGCTACATGGACCTCACAATGCCGTTGTAGATGAATGAGGTATCTACTCGTGCTAAGATTATGGGGCGTCGATTGTGTCTAAAATCCAAATACTCAATGTCATAGTGTACAGAAAAGTGGTAAGTTCCCCGACAGACTAATATGTCTTACATGCTATTTTCTAAACTAAAATCCATAATTTTCTCTTTAGCTGCCTATTGTATTATGTTTTGTTTGTTTTAGATTTAGCTTATCATGTATTTTATCGAATACCAAACCTTTTATCTTACCATCACCTCTATTAAATACATATTTATTAGTAATATATTTACATTATAATACAATTTGTAACATTTACCTCTGAAGAATATAGCTTGCAAACCTTTATTAGCAAATTTGTCCTTCGTCTATAATGCTTATCAGCGAAGCTTCTAGCTACACAAAAATAGTACTATATCTATTTTTCTGATAATGATGTTTCCTTTGTCTTTGCTTTTTGAAGTTAATATAGTTTCAGTCTTTTTTATCATCTTCCTGACCGAATGGGTGAGGTTGAAGGCAATAAAAACGAAAAAGCCCTGGAGAGAATTCAAAATAATGAATATGTACCACAGAACCACATGGCCCAAGAACGATGCAAGAAATCCAAAGAACCAAGAAAGTCCCATAACAGTCGAGATCTGAAAAAAATATTGAATTGTATTATATAAATAGGAGCACTCTCCTTTAACATAAAAAAAAGCATGAATCTTGCAAAATATACAATATATTGCATGGAGTATATATACTCCATGCAATTATGATGATAAACTCTATAAAAATTAGGAAATATGTATTTACCCGGATGTAGATTATCATTTCTTCCATCAATTGTGTTTGCTTTGATTTTCCTTTTATGACACGTTCCGAAGCACTTTTCGATTCTCTAATTCCCGTAATAGTTGCCACAAATAGTATAAGATTTGGCAGAAGTATTACAGCTAATGGAATGCCAAATACGTAGAATGATGCAACTTCGTCTCGAATCCAACACACCGTTTCATCACCGTACACTACGTTTAAACCTGTGCATTCACAAGAACTAATGGCAACAATTACTCCAACAAAGACAGCAGGAATGCCCCAACTGTAAAGAAAATACTGGTTAAAAGTTTTACGCTGAGCTCTTACACTCCTCGAAGTAACTCTAAAGAAACGGAATGTAAGAAAAAGCTCAAATGCTATCGAATTCATCCACAAGAAACAAACAAGCCACAGATAATGCAATATGGCTGCAACTGCTCTACAACCATTCAGCCACTGAATAAAGTTACTCTGGATTAAAGTTAGTAACAACGAACAAAACAATGCAATGGAAACGTTCATAATAATCTTTCCAGGAAGTGTCCTCATCTCGCTGATGATGACACGAAGAAAGATAGTAATGAGTAGACCAATTAGTGACAAAATGGTTCCAACGACACTGATAATTAGTAGAGTACCAGAATAATTGAAAAAAATAATTTCTTCCGTCTTTGATCCCGTTTGGTTCAGAAACGAACACATAAAAATAGTAGTGTTTGAGGGATTTGAGTAATAATACTCATGCTCATCAAAGACATGTCCAGTTGAATTGTACACTAGAGATCCGTTACCTTTATCAATAAATGCGGATTTAGTCAGATTAACCTGTAGACAGGTTTCACAATTCGATATTGACAGGCTACTACAGATTGTAGTCTCATTTACAATCTGATGGACGATCTTTAAAAGATATTCTTCATTAGGAACTTGTATTGAGGAATTACCGTTGCTGATCAATCGTGTAGTATTATCAACGTTTAAACTCTCTGTTAGTGATAGACCGTCATCCACACACTGTAGCGCAGTTGGTATTTCTTTCAAGAAGCAGTTTTGTTGAACAGTTATATACATTATGCTGGTGTAATTGTTGTTTTTTAAAGTTTCAGTAATTAAATTTGAAATTTTAAGAACCATCTGACAATCAATTTCAGTTATGTTAAATTCAGTTATTCCTGTCGCTTGATATTTAGTTTTTGAATATTGGACACCAAGTTTGTCGAGGTATTCTGCCAAAAACATGATAAAAGGTTCATCATTAGAATTATCGTCACCATTAGCACTCTTGGTATCGTTATCGTTGGATTGATATTGAATAACAAATGTATGATCTCGTAAGGTGCATAAGCAGAATGTTTCATCTGGTAACTGGATCACACCATCTCCGCAGTCGGATACTGTCAAAGGTGCAACGCACCTGGAACCATGAAGTGTGAATCCTGCGTTACATGTTAATTGAAGACACTGGTTGGTAAAAGGATCAAATACTTCACCTGTAGCACACTTGACTGCTGTAGTAACGTAACTGCCGAACTTGGAAGAAATCTATGATTATGGTTAATGGCGTTAGATCTGATATAGTAGGGTCTATGTCATTTCCTTCATCAGGAAGATAACATAAATAGAATGGATAAAAGTTACAGATTGCACAATGTGGATTCCTGTACACGTTTACATTATCTATACAAACTACGGCATTGTATCCCGTGTTACAAGCGTTTATCACTGATTGGTCGGTGTAGGATTCGTTACAACCATGTTTTACTCTAGAACGACAATGCCGTCTTGAATCGGTCTTACCCGAAGGAGGGGTTGAATTGAAATTTGGACAAGATACAGAAACATCTATCTGATGTACTTCAAATGGTATCTCAGTTGGTGTTGCCGATGGCTCTATCGAACCCGTCTGTATGGCGTTCCAAATATCACAATTAAATGTTGTCTCCCAAGCTGTAACTTCATTTATAGGCACGTAGTTGCAAATGGCACAAAATATATTTCTGTAGATAGCGTCTTTAGTATCAGACACAATGATACTAGATATGACGTCATTAATATCAGGG